GCTTGTTTATGGAAGTGCAACTGAATGTTAAAATTCAACGCAGTTAAAATCTCCTGAGAGCAAGCCTTACGTGAATACTGACATTTTTACTGTGATATATAGCTGAATGCATAATTCCTTCCCACCTGTATGCTGCTTCTTGCAGTTGTTATATTTTCTGAGTACATCTAAAAAGAATTCATTGCTAAGGGGCAGTTATGAATGTGATTAAAGCCTGGGAAAGCAAAAGCAGGGAAGTGCCCAAATTCATAGTTAATACATAGTTAATAGTTGAGTAATTAAATGGGGCATAATTGCTGCGTAATGAAATATCCCTTGCTTTTGCTGCTTGTTAAGTATTACTCCTGAAAATAAGTATTGCTTCATCTAAATTAGGATCACATGAAATTCATAGCGGTGGAGCTTGTGACTGGCACTTCTGTGTCTTCATGATTAGCCTCCTATAGATCAGTGCAAAAATTGGTTCTCAAAAAATCAGGAGAATAAGTGGTTACCTCTAATACAATTCCTGTTATTCACATCACAAGCTTTTCTCAGCCTGACAGCATTTAAGAGCTTGACTTTTGTCAGTGACACCAAAGACCAGGCTCGGTTTTGATGGATGCTGTGGTGCTGAGCTTGTTATCAGTTCCTTGTCCTAGGCCATTGTGAGAGGGTGCTCTATTTAAATGAGTTTGCACCTGAGCTTTCCATGACAGGAGTTCTTTCACCCCCAACACAATTTGTCCTTTGCTTACTCTTAAGGTTTCTGAACTTGTGTGGATGCTTAAGGGCCACAGAAGGAGGGGACTGAGAAGCAGCTCCACCTGTGGATGAAGCTCTTGACTAATCTTAGTAGAGAAGCAGAGCTGGAGGCGTATCTGTGAACTAGAAAGGGGAGCAACTGCATCACAGTAACACTTTCTGCAGTCTGCAAGGAACAGAAGTTCATCAGCTAAGCTTTTATTGGACCAAACTACATCTTGAAACACTAACACAATGCTGGAAACTAGGGAAAACATGGGAAGGAAGAGAAAACAAGTTGTAGATTCAGATATTGTTGTCAAATAGAGATCAAAGACAAGGATTACTTCTGTTCCTGTGGAAATATGCAGGCAAGGTAATAATTTAGAAACAGGGTCCTGCAAGTCTTGAGGTTACCAGAAATCTTTCCAATTCTTTGGATTTTGCTCTTCTAATACGAAAGGTGAGAACAAGTGTGTACATGTGGGAAGAACTTTTTCAGCCCATTGTTGCACTGTTCCACGGGGGCTAGGCTGGAGTACAGCTCACTCCCCTGGTACTAGACAGCCTCATGGAAATCTTGAAGCCAGTTGGGAATGGCTGTAAAGTTTTACAAGTTTTAAGTGCTTGCACAGAAAAGAAGAAAGATGATTGATAGATGTGTCTACAAAATGTATTTTTATCTAATATGGGGCTGTATGTCCAAGTTTTAAAAGCACTGAATGCTCTGGTGTGCTGCACTAATGGCTGTGGTATGCTCTGTCTGATTGACTTCTTGTGGAATGGAAAGTGGAGGTGAGGAGGAGAGGATAGACAGTGAATGTGAGAGGGCAGCCAATGTTCCTTGTGACTTATGGATCTAAAACTCTTCCCTGAGGTTGAGGTACTGGTCAAAGCATCATGAAACTAAAGTGATGGAGTTTTTGGCATCTTGCAACGATTGGGGCAAACGAGTTCACAATCAGGATAAAATACTTTCTGGATTACAGATTTATCTCAGTGAAAAAAAACAAATCCTTTGGGTTTTTTTTACCCTTGGCATCACTTCTAACCCCAGGACACCTCCATTCTAATCTTCATCCTTTAGAATGTATCTTAGAGACTGGCTTCTTTCTGAAAGCTTAGAAGCATGGAACTCAAAAGAGGAGCTGAGCCAGTTGCTATTTCTTCCTCTCCAAAAGTTCATGCCTTAAGGACCAGGGATTAAATGCTTTCTCTTTTCTGGTTAGATAATATACTCTAAAACCATATTGAGTAGTAGCTTGTGGTCCCAAAAAAAAAGCTTAGACTCTTACCAGTAAGTGTTCATAAATCAAACTGAAATTATGTGCCAGGAGGTAGTAGTCAAGATTTCTTTAGTGGAGCAGAAAAGCATGTTGGAAAGAGGAGGGGAGAAGAAAATGAAAAGACCCATTTGAGGCCATTGTTAAATAATGACAGAAAAGGACAAAGAAAATCGGATTAGAATTATACACACTTTCTACTGAGCTTTTGACAGTCAAAAGTGTTTCATCAGGAAACTATAAGTACATATGTACTTTTACCTGCACTGAACAGTTGCATAGCTATTTAACATTTGTACTACAACACTAATCTCTTATGAAATTCAGCATTCACTCTATCAGTATTTCATAGTCTGGAGACTTTAGTGGAACTGCCCTACACGTGTCTTCCTCACCACTCACAATGAGAGAAATCCTACCACAGCTACATTAGTTGTGGCAGTGTGTAACACTTAAAGTGCACTTTAAACACTGAATGCAATCTCACAGCTAAAAACAGACCCATAATGCATGTGATTCTACCAGTGATTGATAATTTGGAATTTGGGGGGTTAAAATCTTAACTCAAAATTGATCCCAAAATAGCTAGAACAAGAACAGGTTATGACTTAGGAGTAGGTCTATGGTTTAGGGAACCTGACCCACTTGCTTTCTCAGAGTGAATTAATTTCTGAAGTGGTTTCCATGTACTGTGTACTTCATAATCCAATTATGAAGGCTCCAGTCTTGGTGTTCTTGAAAGTTGTAGAAGTCATCCTATCTGGTAATGGTACAGCTTTATTTTATCTTGTCTTCCCCAGGGTCTGTGAATAATGATATTGCTATATATTCCCTGAAGATTTAGTCAGATGGAATGGGAATTAATGTTCTTTACTCTCTTTTTGAACATTTATACTATTAAAAGTAGTGTACCATGGAGAGAGAGTGTGCTTTTGCTTCAAAATTTTGCAAAGGAAGTAAATTCAAAGGAACTTCTTCCTCACCTGGGATGAATTATCTTTGAAAGCTTTGTTCAATGACTCAGAGACCTCAGTTGACAGTTATGGGACCAGATGTACAAGGAGCTATAAGATACCATATATATGAAGACATATTTATTAAAGAAAGAAATTAAAAGACATTCTGTATAGCCAAAAAATCCAGTTTAACTGGCTTAAACAATACACTGAAACTTGTCTAACTCTGAATTACTACTACTTCTATTAAGAAATCAAACAAAATAGCTTGAAAATCAGTTTAAGGCAAAGCTTTGGGTGAGTAGGTGAGACTGACAGTAAAGTACTTGAATGATGTTGAAATAAGATGTAAAAGGAAAAAAACCCAAACGTTATGACACAGGGACTTTGTATGAAGTCCTTAAGGGTAGCGTTATTCATTGCAACACTCATAGGATAGGAGTACATTGCCTTCATTTAGCCTTTAATCCAAAAAAGCAGGACACCAAGGTGTAAATGAGCTGTGCATACAAACAAATCTATTCCTTATATATATATAGCTTTACCAATTAGTGACGTGCAGCCACAGCAGCACATGATATGTCTTCTGCTTGGCAAGTATGAAATACTGTGTGAACTATGAAAGATTAAATGTGAACAGCAGCTGAATGGGCGAGGGACACAGAGGCTACTCAAATAGACTTCAGAGATAAGTGGATAAACCAAGTTCTGTAAGGCCAGTCTAGTTTTGTTCAAATCTCCCCTTCCACATGTGCTGCTTAGGAGCATGCAAGCAAAGTAACTTCTGGTTCTTTTGGATCACTTCTAGAAGAGAAAACCAGCTGTGTGTCTGGTGCCCATTTCTGCAGTGGAGATTGCGTAATGGTTGGAAAAGTTTACTTTGTTGTGCAGATTTTAAATAGGCATCTAAGTGTTTAATTTCACCTGATTGTGCATGAGTCCCAGGCAGAGTTAGATTGTCAATGTGAGTTCCCCTATGATAAGCTTTTAACCAAACTTTAATCTAATTTGAACAGTGGAAAAAGCCTGAGTACGAAAAACACATGCTATTGGGATAAAACAGCTGTGCATGAGTATTACTAGCTTTCTCAGGAGAACAGAGTTGCGTCAGTTCTGAGTTTCTTGCTAAACGTCAAACTTTTACATTCTCAGAAAAGTTGAATAATGTGAAAGTGCAGAGGGCTTCATTCTGCTGTTTAATCAAGTGGGATGCTAATATTCCTTTGCTTCGTTATCAAAGTAATCACATTTTACCTTGATGCCACCTAAGGCCTGGAGAACCCCAGGACAGGGTGGTGGTCAAAGCTTGGACAGGACGAAGCACAGGAGTAAGCATTTGCATCTATAAAACAATTTCCAAGCCAATGCACTGATGGAGTGGCTCTTTCTAAGGAAAATTAATTTGTATATGACTGATACATAACTATCTAACCTGGCTGAACAGTGAGTGATCAGACTGCACAAAACGCTATAGCAAATACTTGGTACAATGCTGATAAGCTGCCACAGCTGCTTGTAAACCTGCTGAGCATTTTTCCACCGAAGACTTTTTGCCACCTTTGTAGTACTTCCTCCTTCTTTGGTCTAAAATTAGAGCCCAGACTAGAAGGGGAGCAGGGAGGAAATCAATACACTTTGCTAACAGTCACTAGAGTTGCTTTTGTTTAAGTGAGGCAACTAAGAACTGGCTTCAGATGTTCTTGGCTTCCTCCTGCCTTTTATAAACTATGAGATACGGTGGAATTAAGTCTCCAGCTTCGTAGCACAAAGGATTAACGTATGTTTTAAACAGTACATAAAGCTGTCAGTGTGCAGCATAAGCTCATAACAGTTTCTCTTTGTGATGACCTATGGGCTCTCGGGTAGCTAGGGAACAGTTGGACTGAGACAACAGAAAAACTGTGTAGAGAGCTGATAGCAAACTCCATGTCACTGATGAAATACTTTATCTTGACAGGCCGGGTTTCCTTTTTCACCTCTGGATCAGAGAACCTTCATCGAGTGGAAAAGGTTCACTGGGGCACTCGCTATGCCATCACCATCTCCTTCACTTGCAACCCAGACCATGGCATTGGGGATCCAGTCTTGATGTAATTCCTCTGGGGACGGAACATGACGTCAAATGGAATGAGAGAAGCCCTGAAAGAGGAGAGGAAAGGGAGATAACATGTCTTGTAACCTCACATTCAAATAGAATTTCCCACCTATATTAATACATTGTAATACATGTTGTTTTCACATGTCCTTTTCCATAAATGTTGCAAATGGTGCCTTAAAAACAGTCTTAAATTTGGTGTATTCTGGAAATGCTCCTTTGTCCTAAAGGCATAGGCTACAAAGAAGAGTTCCATAGTGGGCTCTTTTTAAAATATTTTTAAAAATTTATTATTTTTTAAAATTCTTCAGTTTAAAAGATAAAAACAGTCTTTTGGACCATGTCTTGATACAAATGACCATGCTGCTGTTACCTGTTTAATTCAGTTAGTAATGCAGTGTAGGAAGTTTGACCTAAGTTCACAGAACAAGATGAGTGTTACTCCTTTGAATGTATCTTATGCTGAGAGGAATGTATTCCCCTTAGCATGGGCAATACACCTGTGGTTTAACTACTGGGACTTACTTGAACTTTTTTTTTACTGAAATACTACAGATATTTTCTGCTACAAACAGGGAATAGTTAATACAAAGTCAGAAATACGATTCTGTTATTGGCCAGAAAGCCTGTTGCTTTTGGATGACAAATGCTTTATGCTAGGGAATGTCACTGCATTAGATCCCTTTGATCAGAATGCAGCATTCCCAACTCACCTTGTTTTCTTTGGGTCTTTAATGAAAACGATCAGTCTCCTGGTTGGATGCCTGGTGTTACGGTTATTAAGAACTCTGTATGGAGATGGCTTGACCATGTAACCCTGTACATTAAGTAAATATTAAAAACAAAATCTGGGCAGAGATAACCCGACAGTCCTCTGGATTCATCTGAGTGTTCATCATTATCTAATTCCCAGGTAGGGCAGTAGGATTTGGGAGGAGCATAGATGAGAAAAAAAGCTAGCTTTGTTCTGGTTTTCTATATGCCAGTTCTGGCCTCTTTAGACTTGGTCCTGTAAATCCTGGCTTGCTGCTCAGAAGGCTGGCTAACAAAACCACGTTGACCAGTGGACTGTGGCATGTAGGGTCTGAAGGAAACTGGTGTCCACCTACACTTTAAATTGATGTAGTCTCAAGCTGGAGTTCAATTATAACACACTCTGAAAACATCTATTTATTGGGCCTAAATGTAATATTTAAATCAATTTGAAGGAAGCTTGAGGTTTTGTTATTGTTGACACAACTAGAAATCTTGTGTTGTGAAATACTGTGCTTTATCTTGCCCAAAACAATGTTTTATCTGCTTCAGAAAGTCTCTCAATAACTCTTTTTGGACTTCTCTTTTTTTAATGTAGTACGAAGACTTTTTTCTGTTAACTAGGACCATTAGTTCATGGAGTTCCTTGAATAATAAATCGCAAAGATTTAAGAGAAGAGGGGATGATTGCATTGCAATATGGACAGAGTAACGAAGAAATGTGTAATCTTGCCAACTACTTTGCTTTCTTATTACAATCAGAAGATTTTTGCAGGTCAGCACATTGATAAGTAAATGGTAGGAAAACCTGATTTTTTTTTTTTTTTCCTCAGTCAAATTCTGAAGCAAACGTTGGATTTGTTTTATTAACAGTCTATATAATTTCTGTGAAACACTTCAAAAATCAGGGACTGTGCATTGATTTTTTTTTTTTTTTTTTTTTTTTTTTTTTTTTTTTTTTCATGCATATGGTTTTCATTTTTTAATCTGTCCTTTTATGGAAATAATAAGTATTGGGGGGATTACACTGGTGATCAATATAAAGAAGAACAATGACAGGACACTTGCACACCAGCAAGATTAGTCTTTTGTAATTTCATTTCTTTGTTCTCAAATCTGAAATAGGCTTCCTTGACCATGCTAACAAGGAAGAATTGCTAAAATGGCTGGATGCTAAATAAAGTCAGTTGGGTTCTAGTTCTAAATACTTGTCTCAAAGTCTGTTAATTCCAAGAAACTTGCATTAAAGCCAAGTTGTAAGACTGTGACCGCAGACCAGGATCACCAGCAACTGCTTTACTGGCTTAAAACTTGATTCCTGATGTTACCTTGCGATTTAAATGTAGGACCTTTTCCACAAAAATACCTGATAGCAGTGGAATCTAAATATGAATGGACCTGTGTGGTTTTGGGTTGGGATTCTCCAGGTTGAGGTCCTATGTTCTAAAATTCTTAACTTCACTGTAAGCCCTATCACTGCTCTTGCAATACAGTCATATAAATTGCTTTGCCACTTTTAAAAGTGTTAGTTGGTTATTTCTGTCATGCAGGCTTTGAGTTGCCGTAAATTACATTGGCACTTTTAGAGCTGCTCTTTATAAAATACTGCTCAACAAGATCCTGTTAGACCATGGGGGAAGTCTCAGCTAATCTTCTCTTGGATTTTAATCTTTTGATGTATTGTAATATCTCCCAAACACGGTGCATCTCTCATGCTATGAACTGACTGTCATTCAGAAATAAAATCAAGTTGATATTTGTCTTTTGGACTTCTTAAGCTTTAGTAATGTGTTCAATATGATGACCAAACCCGTCAAATATTATTTGTGGAAAAACATGTGTGTTGTACCTGGTAAGAGAATTCATCTTTTGAAAGTATAATAATTCAGTGTGCTGTATGTTCCAGTACAAACCAAGATTTTTCTGTTTGAAGCTTCAGTATCTGGACTACTAAAAGCAGTAATCTAGATCTATGAAAAAATTAAATAGCAAATTAGGAAGTACAGTGCAATCTAAAAGATTCTGAACATAGCCTCCAGCAGGAGAACAGTATTTGCAGAAAGGCTGATGATGTTCCTGAGGCAGAGTGGGATTTGCAGAATTCACTGATCGTTAGGAATAAACTTGGCTTAATTTATTTCGCCCACTTAAATACCCTGAATAACTTTTTATTAAGGGCATCTCTTCCCAGTTCTTGACAGATTCTGAATCTGAAATGCTTTAATTACTGTCTGTCCTCTTTCAGGTTCAGCTTGCCTGTTGCTACTGGGAAATGCAGTGCTCTGTTTCTTAGAACTCTGGTTACACTGAGGACAGGATTTGTTCTGTTAAACTAGCATAAATCTGATGCCAAACTGCTGCTGACAAGTGCTCTTAATTGAACACGTGGTGATGGCAGAATTTGGCTTGGTGTTTCCCAGTTGTGTGAGAACCTTTGTAAAGGGCCCTCGTGGCTCAAAGTAAAGAAAGGTCAGTACATGTTCAGTGTGAATTGGGGCTAAGTTCTGACATTAAATTCACAGCCTTGTACCTGAAAGCATACTTGTTACAAGTATTTAGAAATGTTTATTTGTATTTTGAAAGAAAAATATTTGTAAGGAAAGGCAAAGACTGCTTCTGAGTAAAGTCCCAGAGTAAACTGCAAAACACAGCAGGAGAGCAAGCCCGAGTTTGAATCCCTACTAAGAGACTGAGTGCAGCTTCATGAGGACTTCTGTGAAACTTCACTACTTTTAAAACTGGTTTTCCACTCAAAGATTTTGGGGAATATCAGGAACTTTTGTAAAATTAACAGGTATATGATCAGATTAGGTTTTTAGAATAAACTTAGCTTTCAGTCATATAGCATGCATTTCATTTTTTTATCCCCTATTACATGATTCGAGGAACCCTGAGTGGACTTCTTGGCATTTCTCAAGTATAAAATTTTCATTGTGTGAGCAGTTGTGGAATCGTTGTGGTTTTTAATTCTCCATTAATCAGCTGAAGGTTTGGAAAGGTATATTTATGTTGAGATTTTCCTGAAAATGTATTGTCCACCTGTAATATTCTAAACTCAGTCTTAATGAATTTCAAGTCCAGAAATGTTTACCAGGGATACTCTATTTACAAAAATATTTTAATTTGAATTTATAGCAGAAATCTATGTCTTATTTATAAGGCCAGCATCTCAACAGCGTACTTGCTGTGGCTGTAGCACATAATGATATGCACCTTAAAATAAAAGTGTGGCTGGACTGGCATTGATAACGACTATGCTGTCAAGAAAATCTAGTTTTATTTCTTCAGTTGCACTTCTTAATACATTTGAATTTCTCCTTTATAGCTTTATTTTCCCCAGTAAATAAAGGTGGCTTTGTTTGTATTATAGAGTTCCTCACATTCCTTCTATACCCAGATACCATTATGCAGCGTTGACATGTGAATTGGATCTCTCTGACATGCTCATGTGTAGCTTTGTACAATATTTCTGTCTTGTCTAAATTCTAGGAATAAAACCAGGAAATGTTGCTGGAGGTCAGGGCTCTTTGAGGAAAAAAAAAAAATTACAACCAACCACACCAACCACCCTCCTCCTCTTCCCTCCCCCAAGCAAATCTTAAGAAACCCCAACTCCTGTCTCCTTTTTGAGTCGCTTGTGCGGAAATCCCACCAAACATTCCAGGAACAGCAGAAGAACTCTTTCCTTTCCGAACCACTGATGGCTCTGGCATGCATCGATCTTCTTGGCCTCGTTCAGAAAGGCAGTCTTCTCAGGAAACCCAGCTAAGAGACCCATCATGAAGTGGTGAGTGTCTACCGCTCCGTGTAAAACACCATGCAGAACTATAGCATACTCTGCCTTATGTCTGTTCTTGTAAACCTTCTTAGGAAGCCGACAGCTAATTTTATGTCATGTTTGCTGAAACCTGCCAAGCAACTCTCTTTTAATAACAATCCTGTTATCCCTGAAGTATCAGTATAGGCACTTTTTCAGTCTTATTTCCAAAATGCCCATCTTTTTTTGATTCTGTCCATTATCTCCCCTAAAATCACTTATCTCTCAATTCTGTCCCAGCATACTTAAGCTTTCACCTGTAGCATATACTGATTAGGGAATATAAGCTCAGTCCATGATTTATTCATAGACTGGCTCACTAGAACTGAAAATGAACTAGATGTTCCTCTATAACCCTTTTAGCCCATGCAGTGTATTAATCTTTAAGAAGAATTTCTAACAGTAGTGGAACTGTCAGGTGTTGCTCAATTTTTGAGAATTTTTTATTCTTCAGCATTCATTTTTTCCAAATAC